CCCATCGGTTTCTGCCCAGAAGATGTAAATAAAACAACTCAGTCAGAACTGGGTTTTTCCAGAGTACTATTTTCCAGAAGAGTCTTTGGCTGCAACTTCTGGCTGAGGGAAAAAGAAGGGAGTAGAGATAGGCAGAATCTTAACAATGACCTAGTAAAAAGACTGCTGATCTAGTAAAAAGAAAATGAAAACACCCACGTGGCACATGATTTCAGAAATTAAAGAGGTAATACATGTTCTCCTAGTTGGTATTAGACATCTTACATAATAGTACAAACATGTGCTGAAAGATCCCAGGAATTTTTGTTTGTTTGTTTTTGTGAGACGGGGCAGGTTGTTGGGTCTGTGAATATGTGTTATTTGCATGTGGGTGTGTCTGTCGGAGGAACAGCCTACTGATGCATGGCAGGGTTCTCCAATGGACCTAGACAAAGATGTCTATTATCACAGAGGCCTTCTCGAGTCAGGGTGTTGTTGTAGCTGTTGTGCTTCCATAGCAACCTGTGGACCGGTTTAGCCAGCCAAGAACAGGGGCTCATGCATAAATGACAGATTGATGGCAGTGGTGGCTGGACTAAAAGCAGCCCAGGTCAAGACAGATTCGTTGGAAAAAGAAATGCCCCCATGCCATGCATCACAGATTCTATTTTAAAATTGGCATTGTGGGGCGCCTGGGTGGCGCAGTCGGTTAAGCGTCCGACTTCAGCCAGGTCACGATCTCACGGTCCGTGAGTTCGAGCCCCGCGTCAGGCTCTGGGCTGATGGCTCAGAGCCTGGAGCCTGTTTCCGATTCTGTGTCTCCCTCTCTCTCTGCCCCTCCCCCATTCATGCTCTGTCTCTCTCTGTCCCAAAAAAATAAATAAACGTTGAAAAAAAAAATAAAAAATAAAAATAAAATTGGCATTGTGTAGGGGTGCCTGGGTGGTTAAGCACTGACTTTGGCTCAGGTCATGATCTCACGGTCCGTGGATGTGAGCCCCACGTCGGGCTCTGTGCTGACGTCTCAGAGCCTGGAGCCTGCTTCAGAATCTGTCTCCCTCTCTCTCTGCCCCTCCCCCGCTTGCTCTGTGTCTCTCTTTCTCTCAAAAATAAACATTACAACAATTAAAACTGGTGTTGTGTAATTCAAAATGAATAAGTTTGCAAGGTCAACAGAGGTAATTGGTAAATAATTGTTTACCTGATCATAACATTAAAGAATGGAAATATAACGTCTTTGGGAGAATTTATGGCTTAAATTGCCAAGAGGAAATGGAATAAATGACGTTGGGGAAGCAGATTTGCCAAGGTTGCCCCTAAGCAGATGATGCTGTATCATTTGATCCAAATGAGGTGGTTATTTTTGGTATCTTTTAACTTCTCCTTCACCCACAAAGCTTCTTCAGACTAGGTAGGAATGGAGGTTTTAAAAACCTGTGCTCAGTTTGCTCACTGGCCTGTCTCAGATGTCTAACTTTAGAGTTCATGAAAATAAAAAATAACATTCTGAATAAGGAAATGAAAAGGGAGAAACTTAAACCAATTAAAGACGGACACCTGCCCATCTGTTCATGGTGACGTCCACAGAATTGTGAACTGCCAGGAGCAGGCGCTGTTGAGAATGTGCCACAGAGCCAGGAACAACGGAGACCCTTAAGTTACCTTAACGGATGTGCTTAGCCACCCGGAAGAAGTAAAGAGGGCAAGGGTGTGCTGCAGCCAGCCCTGGTCAGCTCACGTTGCTACATTCCTGCCCCAGTGTCCTAAGAACTCTTCTGTCTCTTGGTGACAGGGTTTTGGAGTGATGGGGGTTCAGAGCTGATGGCCAGGAGAGAATTCTTGAGGTGTTTTTGGTGCAAAAAAGGTGGTTTTATTAGAGCACGAGGACAGGACCCATGGGCAGAAGAGCTGCGCTGGGGTTGTGAAGAATGATTGGTTATATACTACGGAGTCTGGGGAGGTAAAGGCAAGAGGAAGTTTCCAAAGGGATTTTCATATGCTAAAGAAGACTCACAGGACACTGGAGGCCTAGTTATTGTCAAGTGAAGGTTGTTTTTCCTTCTAGCAAATCATTACTATTAAAACGGTAGGGGGTTCCTGGAGAAATGTTATACTCCCCCTGCCTCAAGTATTTGCCAATGGGCTGAAGGTTAGAAAGAAATTTAACTTTACCTTCTTGCCTTTGTCCCCCATTATCACTATGGAGGGGTGACAGTGGGGCTCCAGGAAACCGAGTCTATAGGTTTCTGGAGATTAGGCTATGGAGAAGATTGCCTTTTTTTCTCGTAATTTACTAAGATACTTGTAAACTGATGGAGACTTATGTCCTGCAGGACTGTGATCTCTGTTAACCATCTGTTTTCTTTCCTTTCCTTTGTTCTTGGGCAGCTGGGAGTTCCTGAGGAATATGAGGCATATCCCACCTGGGGGTGGAGCTTGGAGGTGACTTAGGGGGTGTGGGTTGGGCTGCGGGGTAGGATGAGGGGGGGGCGGGGTGGTCGGGAGCGGGGCAGGAGGGGTTGTTTGCAGGGTGTCAGCTTGCCTTATGCTCCCTCATCACTGGGTAGCTGTCCACGTATCTTGACAAAGATGAGAATAACTAGTAATAATGAACATTTAGAGATCTCATCACAGTTTTACAAAGTGTTTTTCATGCCTACTTGTTAAAAGCAAGTGTTACTATTGCCCCCGCAGTCTACAGAGACTGAGCCTTAGGGAGAGCATGAAAATTCTTTAAGGTCAAACAGTTCATAAGTGGATGATGGGTGGCATTCCCATCTGGGTCTTCTGCCAACAAAGTCCCAGGAAGATAATAGTGACAAGGTCTTTCTCCTTCCAGACAGACTTTCCCTTCAATGGAGGACTGTAATTAGGAATTTAAAAAGCTTTTCAAAACTGAAGGGTTAACTTTCCAATGTTGGGACTGTAGGTGATTGGAGATCCTGTCTAGAGTGCTTTGCCCTGAAACCAGGAGAACATCCCCCAACCATGGGCTCTCCGAGACTGGCCTGCTCTGACAGGATGGATAGGCTGCTCGAAGATTTTGGCAGCTTGGTTCATTTTTAACTTACCCTACAACATTCTAAATCAATGATTCTGTTGCTAATCATTAAGTAGGACATTCTTATTAAGGGTGCCACGGATTTGTATTCGCCGCATCTCTTTATATAGCCAACTGAGGGAAAGTCCTGACCAGCTCTTCGTAACAGATCATCTTAGCTACTATCCATGTAACTGATTATTTTGCCAGAGGTATTCATTAATAAAACAACTCTCCTTTTTTCCCTTATTCTGATATAAGTCCAATGACTCTCCCGAATAACTCTTCATGCGTATAGATCTTTTGCATCCCTACAGAAAGAAATGGTCGAAGTGTTAAGAACAAACAAACCAACAAATATAAAGGAGGAAAAGCAACTCTAGAGGGAAGTCAAGATCTTGGGGTTCAAGCCTGGCCCTGCTTCCAACCTAACTGTGTGATCTTGGACAAGACACTTAATTGGCATTTGAGTTTCCAGATGCGGGCAACATTGTTTCCAGACCTCTCACTTTTACAAGTATTCACGTTACAGGCTGCCAATAATTTACCAATAGTTAATTAACAGTCGAAACTCTTTTAATTACTCTTCATTTTAGTGGTGGATCTTTAGCTTTTAGGCATATGTAAGTGTATCTCAGCATGACCAGACAGAATCTACTAATTCTCCAGAGACTTTACGATCAGAAAAATGCAAAGAACAGAGAGTACGCAAACAGCCTCAGAGCAAGATGGCTTTCTCTTGTGTACCTGAACCATCACTGAAAACTCTAATAGAAAATGTAGACAGTATGTGCACTCACTGATTTATTAGTGTGTGTCTACAACCTCATTACTGAAAAGATATTAGTCGGGTTTTTATTGTTGTTGTTGTTGTTGTTGTTGTTAACAGGTAATGTGAGGGCATCAAATGGTACCAAAACATTTGTAATCAGATCATTTTGCAGGGAGGAGGAGTAGAAGGACAGATCGGAAGCAGAGAGGGAAGAGAAAGGAGAGAAAGAAGAGAAAGAAGAGAAAGAAGAGAAGGAGAGAAGGGGAGAAGGGGAAGTGTCTGATAAAAAAAAATCTTAAAAAAAAAATACTTTGGTTCATAAAATTGTTTACCTAATGAATGCTTACTTAAAATTAGGCAGAGTGATGTCCACAATGAGAAAATACAAATATAAAAGAATACATTGTATCAAGATTCTCTATTCAAAGTCCAAAAAGAAGTCCCTGAATGTAAGATTTAATGCAATAAGTTTCTTTGTTGTCTATAATAGGTCTTTTCGTCTAGACTTTAAACTTCTGATAATTTCAAGTATGTTGTACTTAACTGTAAAGTTTTTAAAAACTATCATTTTAAAGGAGTAAAGAAGGTCTCTGAGCAGCTGAAAGAGCTTTCACAGAGCTCATAGATTTACATCACGGAAGAGGCCTTCAGACTCTTGCTCAGAGCCCATTTGCTTTTTGTTTGTAAAAAGTCTTACAGTCTTAATGACTAGGTTTCCAAGTTGATGCAAACTTCCTAAGACTTCATGAGACCATTTCTTCTGTAACCCCAATACTTAACACAAAGCCTAGTATAAAAAGAGCTCAATAAATATTTGTTAACTAATGAGAAGGTTAGAAGCAGTATTTAGTAGCTGGGGTGTTGGAGACAGGTACATACAGTTGGGAAAAAGGATAGTTGATGGTCTGAAATCCATAGAATGACTGAGAAAAATCATGAAAAGCAGACACAAAGCTCACTGATTTAAGGACATAGAGTTCCATACATCTCACTGACCTCTGAAAGGTTATAGCATATATTAAAAAAAAAATCAATAATTGCCATCAATAATAACGATCCTGAGTCACTAGGATAATATTAAATTTTGTTTAATACTCATTAAAAAAGATCTTCTGAAAGATTTCCATTGAAGAAGATTAGAATATTCAATTGGAACACCTACTCCCCCCCCATGCTAGATTTCCTCTTCAAAATGTAAACTTGATGATATGATACTGTGTACCTTAAAAAAAAAGAAAAAGTCTTCACTTCTATTCCAGGATGTCTAACTCCACGGTGTCTCTGGTAGACATAGAAAGTATGCTTTTTCTTTGCCCTTGTGAGTTATTAAGCTTCCCAGTACAGAATTTTAATATATTCCATATATCAGCTCTTCCTGTTTCAGTTACAAAACAGTACAGAATTGGATCAGCAACACAATTTAAACTTGTTAGTGCCACCGTGATTCTATACATTGTGTAAGTTGGATTCCCGGACTTGTTGTGGTCAAATATATGTTTATCAGGGTTCACATCATGCTCTAAAACGCTGCGAATCAGCAGCATCACATGAAAGGGAGTGAAACACAGGACGAAAGTCAACGTGATGCTAATAAGTAGTTTTATGATTCTCTTCTTTTCGTTGTTTTCCGTGGCTTGATTATGCTGCACAGCTTGGTAGACTTTCTGGTTGCAAATCATTATAATAACCAAAGGTATTGCATAGCCTGTACACGTCCTAAACAAGTTCAAATTGATTTGCCATTTCTCCAAGGGGTATTTGTCATAGCATAAAGTAAAATTAGACTTTTTGGCCTCACAGTATTCTATAGTCGTTTCATCTTTCCACAGAATGATACCGTTGAACATGGTTTCCAACACCCAGATGGACAGGCTGACCGCGAAGGCAGATCTTCTTGTCCTTAGAAAAGAAAACCTCAAAGGGTGGACAACTGCTAAATACCGGTCAACGGCGATGCAGGTGAGGAATGCTGTGCTGCTGTAAAAGTTCATGTACATGAAGAAAGCATTCCCTTTGCACAGAGCATGGGAGAACGTCCAGTTGTCATTATTCCAAGTGTAATCAATCCATAGAGGGAGAGTTGATGTGTAGAGCAGATCTGATAGTGATAAACTGAAGAGGTAAATTCCTAATTCATTTTCCTTCTTTGCTTGCAGAAAAGACACACACAGAGACCCAATATTGGCTGGAACACTGGCTATAACCACAAAGATGTAAATAACTGGAAATAAATAGTGATCGAAGTAGTGCTGTTCTTCAAGGCATGTGCTGTTCATTTTTGTTTTGTTTGTTTTGTTTTGCTTTTCGTTTTAAAGCAGCAGTCGCATTTGGTCTGAGAAGGTCAATAGCAAGGCGAAGCCTTGCCTCCTTCTAGTTTGTTTTTAACATCTCATTCTTTTACTAAAATTTCTCAATTCTTCTTTGCTTTCCAAAGTTCTGATTAATTCGTTAGTGCTTTTAAAGGGTGGACGTAGACTGATTTTCACAAAGATATCAGTGGTTGGAAGTCAGAATCCAGCCTCCTGGCAGTTAGCGCAAATGGTCATGGATCTTAGCGAGAAGGAGTCCACGTTCTTGTTATCACAGAATGCTGATGAAGAACCCCCAGCAATCAACTGGGTCATCCCTCAGTGTCCACAGAGTGTGGTCTCCAACTTGTTTTTCTTTGCAAAACTCAGAGGAGATCGGTGCACATGTGAGTACAGAAGGCTTTGTTTTCACAGAGACTGACATCTCTTTTTAAATGCCTTTGTTTCTGTAATGAAAGATGAACTAGAATAGTTTAGATGTTTACTGGGTATAACACGATTTTCAAATAATCCTCTTTTTTTTCACTGCTTGCAGGTAGCAAAAATGTATTAAATTACAATGAAGGCATTTAAAAAGGGGAATTATTTAATTGACTGCAGTGAAGGAAATCAAGCTGAGAAATTTTTTCTATTTCCAATAAGAATTATCCACAGGGTGACAGATTAGGGGGGAATGCTATTTCTCACTGGACACGATCACAAAGCTAACGTTAAAAAGTCATTTTAGGAACTAATAAAAAAGATGGAAATTTAATGATTTGCTTGAAACCAGTAAATGTTTTGGAGTTGTATGATAAACTGTATAGTTACATGATTTCAAATGTTGGGTTTTGCATGCAATCTAGGTATAAGGCACCTTCAATATCAGCTTATTGGCCAAGAATATGTTGTCACGAGAAATTTAATAAAGTGAAACATTTTAAAATATAGCAACTTGCTAAAACTTCATAAATAATTAAACCACGCTGCCTCTTATGTTTTTCCCTTTGCTTCCTTTGGTGGGCACTTTATCTTCCTCGTACTTTTGTGAGAGAGAGGGCAGAATGTTCTTAATTCTGGGTAACATCTTGGCATCATCACTGTCTGCCTTTTTACCTGATTGTTTATTAGCTAGTTTCTTTTTAAAGGCCTGATGTTATAGATTCACAAAGGAACACAGACTCCATTCTTGTCTTCACAGTGGAGTAGAGAAGTGCCTTTGCTAGTGAGGCCTGTTGCTGCTTTGGATGATTTATGTGATGGGGAGTTTCGGAAGATTTGCCTTCCTGTTGTGTGCTGTGGGGCCTCGATGAGACCCAAAGTCCCCCTTTCCAAGCGTCAGTGAGCCCTGAGCACAACAGAGGCCTTGCCACCACAAGCCACAAGGGTTCTGCTAGCAGAATAAACATATGCAGAGTACATCTTTATACAGCACTCTTAAAAGAAAGTGGAGAACTAAATTTCCCGAAATCTCATTGTTTTCCCACACCTAGAAATATGAACACAATGTGAAAAAAACCACCTTTTAAATCAATGGGTGAAACTTCCAGAGAGAAAAAGAAAATTGTGATGGAAAAAAAGAAAGTGGGAGCTGAGATCGGGAAGGTGAGTGAGCAGAAAACTCTGAATGTCCAGGAGGCATATTTGGATCAGAAGAACTAACTGGAGCCTCTGAATGCAGGGGAGCTAGAGACACAGCCCCAACCCACGCAGGCAGGAAGTGGCCCTCCGCCACCCCACGCAGGTTGGAGTCCAGGAGCCGCTGCCCACAGGCAGAGGGTGAACTAGAAAAGAAACAAAATAAAATAACAAACCGGACAGCCATCTGCAGACAGCAGAGAAAGTTGGCAAGTTTGCTGTCTCAGCTTTGTTTCTCTATGGGGCTATGATGGAGAATCCCTGAGGATTCACGGCCTCCGGCTGGTCTGCACTTGGGAATGGGGTCTGAGTCTACATTATTTTTTTTTTAATAAGGTTTTTAAAAAATGTTTATTTGTTTATTTTGAGGGAGAGAGAGAGAGAGAGAGCACGAGCAGGGGAGGGGGAGAGAGAGAGAGACAGGGAGAGAGAGAGAAAGAATCCCAGCAGGCTCCTCACTACCAACAGTGTAGACCCTGACAGGGGGCTCGAACTCCCGAACCGTGAGATGATGACCTGAGCCGAAACCAAGAGATGGATGCCTAACCGACTAAGCCACCCAGGCGCCCCTGAGTCTACACTATTAGTTTGGTCCTGTAAACTGCAGGCCAGCCATGAACTAGTACCAGACCTATGCGCTCACCTTTATCAGTCATCAAGGAAATACAAACTAAAACCTCAAGGAGATACAACTAGGAACCCACCAAAATAAATAAAATGAAAAAGACAGAAGGCAACAATATTGTGGTGAGAATTAGAGCTCCTGGGACTCTTCTGTCCTGTTGGTTGGAAAACTGCTTTGGCACTTGTGTATATACCACACTTATATATGGTTCAGCGATTGCTCTTCTAGGTGTATGGTCAACAGAAATACATACGTATGTTTACCAAAGGGCACGTGGTAGAATGAGGATATCCACAGTAGTGTTATTTGTAACAGCCCCCAGTGGAATGGCCACTTGGGGTAGAATAGATAAGTAAATTGTGGCATAGTAACATAATTGAAATCTATACATCAGTGAGAATGAACACATCATTGCTGTGTCCAATAACACAGCTGAAGCTCAGAAACACAATGCAGAGCGATAGAAAAAGGCAGGCACAAAAGAATATGTACTAACTGATTAAAAACTAGGTAAAGTTAATCCATGCTTGTCCGAAATCGGAGTAGTGGTCCACTTATTAAAGGCTTCCTATGTGCTGGGCACCACATTAAATGGCATGCATGTTTGTTACAATTTATCTTTTACTACTATTCTGTGCTATTTATTAAAATTGAGCCACACATTAACTAATTAGCCCCCGAATACCTATCTAATCTTTCGTACAATTTGGCTATAATCCTAGGTTGGAATGCTAAATAAAGCCTCTTGACTCTTAACTATTTTGCCTTCTACTTTTTACATACAAATGCCTTAGAGGGCACCTGGATGGCTCAGTCGGTTAAGTACCTGACTCTTGATTTTGGCTCAGGTCATGATCTCGGGATTTGTGAGTTCCAGCCTGGCATTGGGCTCTGCACTGACAATGTGGAGCCTGCTTGGGATTCTCTCTCTCTCTCTCTCTCTCTCTCTCTCTCTTTCTCTCTCTCTCTCTTTCTCTCTCTCTGCTCTTCCCCCACTCGCTATCTCTCAAAATAAATAAATAAACTTAAAAAAAAATACCTTAGACATTTGAGGTATTTTTGCAGCAATGCAGACCAGCTTTGGTGAGAAAGAAGAGTATCTTCTATTTTCTATTGAAGTTTCTAGCACTGATAGATTAGGACAAGTCTTTTAGCCATAAAAACAGATCTAATTAAAGAAAATAATTTGTGAAAAATCGTTTCTGTAAATTAGATAGAAAGTAACCACATGTCTTCTAGAAAACATCACTTTCACATTGTCTATTAGACTACACAGGCTTCAAATAAACTTGTGAAAATCACCTTACATCATGTCCTCACACTTAGTGACAATGTGTTGTTATGTGCCTACAGATTTCAAGGGTTTCTTTTCTATAACGGATAACGTAGCAGATTCACTTAGACAGGCTTTTATTTTTACTGCACTTGATTTGAGAAAAGATGACTAAAAGGAGCAAATATTCTGCTACCACACTCAAAAGAATCTCCCAGTTCTTAAGAGTCATGAGGCTGAGTTTCAAAGAGTCTATTTTTTACTTCCGGAATCCTCTGTGAATTATTTCAAAGTTGAAATTAATTGTCTTTGCCCACTCATAATGTGGTAGCAAAGAAACTGAACATCAGACCGATTGTGAGATAGAGACCTATGCAGCATGATATGTCTGTATTGTTGCAAACAGTCATATGGAGTTGAAGGCGGCACCTATCTCGTCAGTTCAGACGCAAGAAGGAACACTAGATATCATACCACCTGCAGGCACAGCTGGACCAGCAAGGGAACGAACGCCACCCCACTAGCTTGCAAGTAGTTAATCAGCACTACCTTAAAGACAGAATTCCCAAATGTACCTAATGCAATCTCTAACAGAAAGCATAAAGATATTTTTCAGAATTTAAATCTCTTGAGATGGAAAAGACCTTTGGTGGGGACCAGGATCAGAGCACCTGTTAACGTGACCTCATGGGCCTGTACTCAGCAGTGTCCACCTTCTCAGGAGACCTCTGATAACATGACCTCATGGGCCTCTACTGAATGGTGTCTACCTTCTCAGACCTCTGATGATAAGACCTCATAAGCCCCCACTCAACAGTGCTCACCTTCTCAGGAGACCTCTGACTTCAGGGGCCCCCACTGAATGTTTGCCTTCTCAGGAGACCTCTGCTTCACGGGCATGGCTTCACGGGCCTCCACTCAACAGTGTCCAGCCTCTCAAGAGACCCCTGCTAACATGACCTCACGGTCCTCCACTCATGAGTGTCCACTTCCTCAGGAGACCCTTGTCCCAAATTTTGCCCTTCAAACCTCTCACTTGCAAGACACGGGGGAGTTCAGGACTGAGGAGGGTTAGCTCCCCATTCTCCTGGCTGGCACCACACCAATGAACAGCCTACCTTTTTCTTCACTTCAAAAGCTCCGTGACAGTTTTAACTGACTTGCTGCACATTAGGTGGACAAACTCTGGTTTGTTTTGGTTACAGAGGGTCATATTAAACATTTGTCGGAAAAAAAAAATCAGGTGCTGCTTATCTTGGGGGAGGGGCCAAGTAATGACTGGAAGAGGGCACGAGGGGGCCTTCTGAGAATTTGTAATGTTTTGGCTTTTGATATGAGTGTTGATTCCGTGAACAAGTTCAGTTTGCAGACATTCAATTCATCCAGCTGTACACTCAGGACATGTGTGTTTTTCTGCATGTATACTACACTGCAATTATAAAGTTAAAGAGTGGAATCAAAGGCTGTGTGAGATGAGATATAAAGAATCCTGACAACCAACCAACAACTGTATTACCTTCAGATGGAGCATAGAGGCCTTCCTGAGAACTGACAGGATTTTACTTCTTTTCTCATATATAAAAAGTGATTCATAGAAGCCAAAACAATAAATAAACAATATGAAAATGAATTCACCAAAAAAAAATGCTATATTAAAAAACGAATATTCTAGGCACCTGGAAGAGTACATACAAATTGTCCCTTGAGGAAAGCTCAGCCTAGGCTTCTCTGTGAGGAATTCTCCCAGAATAAATGGATGGTTGCCAGAGGGCAGGGGCAGGATGATGAGCAAACTGGGTGAAGGGGAAAGGAAGGCACCGGCTTCTAGTTATGGAATGAAGGAGTCGTGGGGGATGAAAGGTACAGCTTAGCAAATATAGTCAGTGGTTTCGTATACAGTCAGGGCTGTGTGGTGGTGACGGATGGTAGCTACATTTGCGGTGAGCATAGAATCACGTACGGAGCTACTGAGTCACCATTTTGTCCACCTGAAACTAACGGAACATTGTGTGTCCGTTATACTTCAATAAAAACATTAAATAAAAAAAAAAGAATTCTCACAGATAGAGTTCTAACAAATATGAGCTCATTAAAACACACACGTGCGTGCACACACACACATTTAACCACTATGTTTGAGATTCAACAAAAATGAGAAAGATGAGTAGCAGATCCACAAAACCTTAATAGATTATACAATCAATTTACAAATCTATTAACAAATTAATAGATACACGACACAAAACAAGTGTGTTTAATAAGAAATAAAGAAAGGAATTTGAACACATGAGTAGGGAGGAAGAGACTTCAAAAGACGGGTAGGCATATTTTTGGAGCAACTGGGAAAGGCTTTCCAGAAATAAAAAATGTAATAATTTAACTTAAAAAATTAATACGGGGATTAGCTTCAGCTGAATAAAAAAATTAATGTACTGCAAGATAGATCTAAAGAAATAATACAGGGGGAGCCTGGTTGGCTCAATTAAGCCTCTGACTCTTGATTTCAGCTCCGGCCATGATTTTCAAGGTTTGTGGGATCGAGCCCCATGTTGGGTTCTGCCTGGAGCCTGCTTGGTATTCTCTCTCTCCTTCTCTCTCTCCCCTCTCTCACTTGTGTCCTCTCTCTCTCTCAAAATAAATTAATAAATAAATAAATAGACATTAAAAAAATAAAGAAATAATACAAAATTATCACTGTGAAAGATATGGGAAAATACCAAAGAGACACGGAAGATAAAGTGAAAAGTTCAGGATATGTTTAACTGGCATTCCATAAGGGATAGAAGAAGAGAGAAAATAGGAAAGAGGCAACGTTCGAAAAGATAATCACTGAGAGCTGTCTAGAACTGATGAAGGACATGGATGGAATCCTCAGATTTATGAAGTCCAGCAAATTCCAAATAGGATTAAAAACAAACAAAGATGGAAATCTACATACATGTAGACACCCTGCAATGAAGCTGAGGATCCAAGAGTAAGAGACAGAAGGCCAGAGAGAAAAAATGGTGTACCTACAAAGAGTAAAATTTACAGAGACAAAGGACTTCACAGAAGTAGTAACAGAAACCAGGAAACAGTGGGTTGATAGTTCCAAACTGCTATGAAAATGTATGTAATCCTAATATCTGACAGAACTAAATTTCAAAACCAGGGCAAAATTAAGGACAATTTAAGATAAATTACCAGTTGGGGTGCCTGGGTGACTCAGTCGGTTGAGCATCTGACTCTTGATTTCAGGTCAGGTCATGATCCCTGAACCTGTGTTGGGCTCTGTGCTGGGAGTGAAACCTGCTTAGTATCTTTCTTTCTCCCTCTGCTCCAATCTCTCTCTCTCACACACACACATCATCATCATCATCATCATCATCATCATCATCATAAACTACTACTGACGAAATTTACCCCCAAAATCTTCATTAAGAAGACCTTTAAAGGATGAAAGTGAAGAAGGAAAATGATACTAGAAAAAAGTCTGAGATACACAAAAAGCTGAATAAGCTACTAGGACGGAACTCTGATGCTACACAGTGTCCCATCTATCACCAGGCTCACGTGTCTGGGGAGAATACCTCAACCACGAAGATATCCCTCCTTGGGACCAGGATTGAGAGGTCGAGGGGTGCCCCTTCCTCCTCTATCCATCCATTGCACAGTGACATTTCACATATGATACCAAGCTCTGTAGATAATAGTTGTTAAATTAATTTGTGCGAATCTAAGGGTTTTTTTGCTTCTGAGATTTTAATGGAATACATAATTCTTATCATTCGTACATTTTTTTCAGACATTATTTTTACTGCTTTTTTTTTTTTTTTTTCAACGTTTATTTATTTTTGGGACAGAGAGAGACAGACCATGAACGGGGGAGGGGCAGAGAGAGAGGGAGACACAGAATCGGAAACAGGCTCCAGGCTCCAAGCCATCAGCCCAGAGCCTGACGCGGGGCTCGAACTCACGGACCACGAGATCGTGACCTGGCTGAAGTCGGACGCTTAACCGACTGCGCCACCCAGGCGCCCCTATTTTTACTGCTTTTAATAAAATTATGACAAAATTGTTTTTAGAACCACCGCTGAGAAATGTGGGCAAGTTGCTAATTTTGACAAATCCCAAAAAAAGATAATCCCCAGTGCACTAAAATATATCTGTTATTAACCAGTTCCTCAAATAGTACAAATCATTGATGACAATCATCAAAAGATAAAATGTTTTCCTACAGGTTATAGGAAATACTTGCCTTCCTTGATCAGTTTACTGGCTACTTATTATGACTACTATGTCTCAGACACTGATGGTCACTTATTAAGTGAGTATTATTACTTAATATTTATTAATACTAGAAATACTATTTCCAAATTTCACATTATTTCTGATGATATAAAAGGTATCATGAGACCATTGTACTAATGAGGAAATGGGTAGTTCTATAGCTGGGAGCTGTTAGATTTCCTCACAGCCACTTAATTCAGTTTGCCAATATGATGTTTCCTGAAAGGGAATGGAGCATAAATATTCCTCTTTTGTGTATCAATAGGTTTACCTAACTATTTCTAAATGTCAGTTCTGACACCCTTTAACCACTGCTCAGAAGTGCGGGAACCATGTGGCAGCCTCATTTCTCTTTGTCTTATAAAGTTCTGCTTTATTGCATTTCTGTAGCCTAAACTTGGTAAAAGGTTGTGAGCATTACTGACAACCATGCCTGAGTCGTTATCTACTTAAAAATATTATTTTATTGTTAAATCTTACACTTACCCATGTTTCTTGAGGAGATGATTTTGTCGACCGAGGAGCCAGATAAATCTGCTTGCACCGAGATGAGAAACCAACACTGTGAAGGGACAGGAAATTACACTTGTGTTTCAACATAAAACAATGAGGAAGCAGCATCTTAATAAGAAGGATGTTCATTATTCCAGTTTGACCAAAGACAGTCTCCTAAATAGTTTAAAAGCTGTTTCTGTTTCTTACTTACCGTAGTATAATTTTCATGACTCACTCTCCTCTTCGCATCTTAATTACAATGTATACTGATATTCGGTGTGTTTTATTTAATAGAATACGTGCTAGACTTTCATGTAATCACTCACTCATTCATTCAGTCTGTCAACACATACATCTATTACATTCTTAGGACACTGTGCTGGGAGTGATTTAGGACCTGGCTATAGCATGTGAGAAGCTCATCACCTAGTGAAAGAGAAAGGCATGTTCAGGGATCACCATGATACAATGGCAAAAATGGGTAAGTAGTACTCCAAAAGAGGTCCAAAAAAAAAAGAAAGAAAGAAAGAAAGAAAGAAAGAAAAGAAAGAAGAAAGAAAGAAAAGATGAGTTATGGGAATGTGTGACATAGGAGAGGATGGTCTACATGGATTCAGCATGATGCACTTCCTGGGAGAAAAGCAGTTGAGGAAGAGTGGGTGTTGGGTGTATAATAAGCATGTTCCCTTGCTTAATCCTGGCACCTTTGTGAAGCCTTTTTTTTTTTCT